ACTTCAGATTGGGAAACACCTTTTCTTTTACCAAATAAAAATAAAAACACCAAAATGATGATATGGTTGAATTATTGCAGGAGGTCAAATTGCAAAGTACCACTTGTATTATCCCATCAGGTATCCAAGCAGGTTTTTTTCACAGACAAATTAATATGCAAATTCCAAACCATTTACACAAAAAAATGGCCAGAAAAGTCCAACTTGTTTTGGCATGAAAATAATTTTTGGTAACTTTTGCATAAAAAAACCTGTTAGGCCACCTGGGAAATCACTCATACTGACCATCACTCCCTCTCAACTTGCCCCGCCAGTTGTCCAGTTAACCCACCTCTCCTTTCAGGGATGGATTGTTGTTGGTCCCATTTCTACCCATAGTCCCCAGGAAAAATTCTCCCATGTCCCATTTCATTACGGACAAATCCTCCGAGAGCATTAAGCACTTTACATTGCGCAGCGCTCAGTTGGGCTTCGCTCAGTTGCATGGCGCCCACTTTTGGGCTCCGAATATAGGGTACCATTGTGTCGGGGAAAAACCCTGCCAGTGACTTGAATGCCTTGTCATGTTTATTCTACAAGCCACCGACATTTCCCGGCATCCTTTGGTTGCCTGATTCAAGTGCAGAGACTTTTAAAAATCAATTTGGAAGAGGGGAACTTTTAAAAATAAAAAAATACAAGAGAAGGAGAAATATTTTTTGCGCTACAAAAAGTGCTGGGGAGGGAAATGATACATTTATCGAAAGCATGACACAAATGTTTAGGAAACATGGAACAAAAAATATTCGCCTTGATATCTTTTGTTAAATGCAGTTTTTCCAAATGTTTTCCCCTCGAAAAATGCTTCATTTACGTCCAAAAGGCTGTACCTTTGAAGAATTCCCAATGGTTATGGCATGAATAAAAACCCCCCAAATGAAACAAACTAGAATAATATTGAAAAAATAGATTCTTTGTGATATGTCAATTGCAGTTATGTTGAAGTATGATATACATTACTTTAGTATGAATTACTCTTGAAAAAAGGAATTCAGCATTTGTAAAATTGTGGAAATGGTTTTTAAAAATGTTTATTGATTAGAGTTAGAGCTGATTGCATATATTGTATTCAGTATATGGTCTTCTGGTAATCCTGTGTCTTTTGCAGCACCTGTGGGTATACTTACCTATGCATTCTGCGAAGATGCACAAAATCAATTATTATAGCAGATATATGTCAGTGTGGGTGCTCAGAAAAATCTCTGTACAGTACGTTGAAAGAATTTCTGCTCAGGTTTTTTAGATTAAAAAAAAAGCAGCGGGATGCATGTTTAAGGTCCATGGATGATATTTCAGTTGAACCAAAAGCTCAAATAAAATGTAACTTCACACAATCTAATGTAACTAGTAACTTCAACCAGAACTAAAAGTGCAGTATTATATTTCATATTTTTATTCTTAATTCATTAATTAATTCCACGTTGATATTTTTATTTTCCTGCAGTAATCAGTACAAGGCATTGGATAATGAACAAGTTTTCTTTAAAAAAAAATACCGCAGTTGAGCCGTCAGTGAAGTTGCCTGTGGTGTTGATCGGAGCTGCTTTGGGAGCAGAGGTGATCATGGACTGTTTCGTGGAGGCGCATCCAGTTGCAGTCACTTACTGGCTTCGGAACAACACAGACGTGCTCATCTTCCGCAGGTTCTCAATTTCACTTCATTTTATTATTTGAATCTCTGCCGAAACATTTTCATGAATCCTTAGTTTTTTCTGAATATAGTGGCAAATACGACGTGAGCGAAGAAAAAGACGGCTACAGAACTGTGACGCACCTCAAAATCCGGGACTTTGACCGAGATGACATCGGTTCTTATTCCTGCGTCGCAGGGAATTCCTTGGGACAAAGTCAAGGCACTGTTCGAGTGTATGGTACGCTTTTATAAATTATAGATGGCGCTGCTATTTTACGTCACGTGAAGCTGAGATTCCCTGAAAAATGTGAAAATAATTCAAATAAAAATAATACTAAGAATTCTTCAGTCGAAAAATAGAATTTTGGCAATTGAAGAGTTGAAGACAAGTCTTAGATGTTCAGTATATCTTCTGGAGATTCTAAAAATAGCTTTTAACGTATTTCCTGACAGTTTTTGCATGATGTACCATCAAGAGATCATTTAGAGCAGGGTTCCTCAACCTTTTTGGACCCATGGACCAGCAAATTTCCATTTAAAGTTTTGCAGACTGGCAAATTCCCAAAAAATGTTCTGCGGGCTGAAGTGTTTGCCGACTTGAAAAATTTTTGAATGACAGAATTTATGGCAAATGCTTAGAAGTTCCTGCTTTTATTTGTATAAATTAAGTTATGCATCAATGAAGCACGTAAATAGCCACATGTCATTAACAATTAGAAAGGTGGGCTTGAAGAAGGGTTTCTTCAAATGAAATTTTTAAAAATTATTTCAGGAGGTGGAAATGTGTGCAAAGTGTTATTAGGACAAGAATAGCAAACTTTTATTTTTCATCAGATAATGTAAAATGCCACTGTATTTCTAAATTTTTAGAGATAACAAACTTCATTGCAACTTTTAAAAAGAAAATTTTGCTGAAAATTTCCTTCGTATTGGCAGAAAACGTCTGCAGAATAGCACTGGTCCGAAGACCAGGGGTTGGGGAACACTGATTTTGAGGGAATGAAAGGGATATTCTTGATTCTAAAAACATTTATGTCCTATTACCTCTATATATCATCCAGAGAACTTGTCATTGCTCCCCAATTTTCCTTTCTGAATACTGTTTTATCACACCCTTTTTGGGTATTGTTCTGTTTCACAGAGGTCAAGATAACCCAGGAAAACCTGCCTCTGCTGAACCTGTGCTCTGAGGGCAAGAACCGGATCAAACTTTTTCCAGGTTATAAAAATAATCATCAATTTGAAAATTCAAGTGATGTTGTTTTTTCCATCACTAGAAACTCTTTATCCAAAAAATGAATATTTTTTTTTTTATTCCTGGTGGGGGAAGCGTTTTGAAAATTTTCCAAGCATTTTGAATACCTGAATAGAATTTGTTTTCTGTGGGTTGCAATAATTTACTGTAGGTGGACTGGCTCAACAGAAATATTCAAGGGACCACAAAAAATCGTTCTAGAGAGAATTGTGCTGTGCAGAACTCTCATAACATGAAGAGAGAGCCCTATGGGATCACGAAAATTTGTTATGCAGAGAAAATTGTTGTAGACAAGATCATTGTAGAGAAATTTCACTAGTAGTAATTTATGAAGTGTATTCAAAAATTACCCGTACCAATACAGGTGAATTCAGCAGGGATCTCCTGCATGATGAATCAAACACCCTAGAGTAGGTCGTACCCACTGATTAATTAATTACAATGAGGTCTCACCCACTGGATGTGGATACAAATCCAAATTCAGTTCACACAATTTGACATAGATACATAATAAAAATCTTCAAAAGAAATACCAGCACGCCGTCATTGCAAAATTCAGAATAATATTTAATTTTTGAATTTCAGACAGCAAAATGTGCTTCACTGGAGAGCCGTCCAAGTCGACTCCCAAATACGCTGTAGTGAGCACAGAAAAACAGCAGAAGTCAGCTGACGACAACTACGCCAAAACAGTCCGACCTCCACCCTCACCCCCACCACCACCGCCACCAACACAACTGGATTCAGGGGGGTCTTCTCCCAATTATGAAAGCAAAATTGTTTGCCTGACTTGTATCTCGTTATTAGCTCTTTTCGTCCTTTGATGCACACGAATAACGCCCTCAAATGTGCAACATGGACGTTGTGCAAGTTTTATCAGATCTGGAGCATGTTTAATTAATATTTAACGAGAGACGAAAAATTATTAAACCGACGGATTATCATAAATTCTTGAAAAAAAAGCCAGGTACTTCTAAAATATATGCGATGGCGTTTCAGATTTGCAGATCAAGTGCGTGATTTCTTTTTTACTAATAAAAATGATCTAACCAAAATCAAGAAACAGCCTGAAATTAATATTTTCATTAAAATACATACATTTGGGAATTCCTGTTTTTTAGAGTTCTTCAAGAGATTTGGCTGGTAACAGATAAGTAAATGGAATCAAGGCATTGATTTAAATAAGAACATTTATGTGATGACAAATCGTCGTATATTCACGGGCACGATCTTTCATGACATAAATTGTGCTTGAATTTTGTGTGTGACGAAAAATGATGATCAAAAATTGATCGATGAATGCTTCAGAGTAATGGATGATTTTTTTGAGCTCGGGGTAATTTGAAAAAATTAACGGCATGAGAAACGTATCACTTTTTTCTTGAAGAATGCCTAGAATATTTGATTTTTTATGCAAAAAATTTGCTATTGGGTCACAAAAAGTCCCACATCTGATACTGATTAGAAGTGATTAAATGAGTGAATGCTCTAAATTGGATATGATCAGGACAGCTTTTGTACGTTACCCCAATAAAGTACCCAAGATGAGCAAGTAACTGAATTCTGAGTGAAATTTCATCAAAGAAAAATTTTAGAGTGGCAAGAATGAGCAAATTTACTACTTGATTGGCATCGATGTGAAAATGAGCACATGGAAATAATAATTCCCTTGGAAAAATCTTGAAATAATTTATGCTCTTCAATCAATTGTAATCCCTAAAATTGCATGATGAGACATTTTTCGAAAATATCATTGCTTTCTTATGTTGAAGCAACTTTTAATTTTATAATGGTCAATTAGAGAGATTAAATCATCTCTGACCTTATTGTACTACAGTCAAATGAAGAATTGCATTTACAGTGAAAACTATCGAATGCGGTTTAATGCGGAGCTTTTTCACCCGTTTCCGTCATTTTCCGCAGAATATTTATATGTTATGTCTCTTATACTGACGATGATGGTCTTTAATTGCTGCCATATCACTCATAATTTTCTTAATTGCTCATTCTGCAAAACAAAACACGTAAAATTCTGCATTTTACTGCAGTGCGAGTGTGAAATGAAGTTCCAAGTCGAGTAAACAATTGTATTGCCCAACACCCTTTGCTGCGTTTTATTCGGCTGCGGGAAATCAAGCAATTTCAATTTTAATTTTATTACTTTCGTCAGATCGAAACTCATTTCCTCGTGGATCCCTTGCCACCGTATTTGCGCAAAACTTTCTTCCATGTCGTGTTGTCCACCTTGGACAAGTGCTTCATGAGGTCTTGTCCCAACTTCCGTTGCTCAGGAGTTGGACAATACGGCAACTGAATATCCCTCCTACAAAGACTCGGCACGACCAATCCATTCATGATGCCTGGAAAAATGGACAGTGAAATAAATAATATAATTTCTAAAGATTAAAAGCAGGCAAGATGAAAAAATATTGAGCGGGCGAAATTATTATGGGAATTAATGATCCCTCCCTGAATCTCAAAGCTTCAAGAAGCCGAGTGTACGAAAGGATTATATTCAAATTACTTATTTTTCCATTGATGTGAATCATTAATTTTTAAATTCAAAATTGTCACCCTTACTTTTGAGTTTCTGAGAAATTTATGTGTTATGATCATGGCTCTGTGTATATATATGCCCTTTCAAAGTATTTTTGCCTCTGACAATACAAGAAGCCGAGTGTAAACTTTAGAACAATTTCAAAACTTTAGAACAATAGCTTACTACAAATTTAAAACGGAATTACATATATTCGTAGCAGTATATTCCGCATGAAAGATTTTTGAATTTTTTTTTTCATTTCTTCACGTGAGGAAAATTAATTTTTTATTTAATTTTTTCGAAAAAAAAACGCTGTCATGACAATTTCCTTTGTCCGTTTCTTTAAGTTAGGACTCTCAATTAACAGTGCTATTTATTCCCTTATAGGTGAAAAAAATAAAAAAATAAAAATAAAAAACTGCATGGTAATACTAACGTCGAAACTCCCAGCCTTGGCAATTGCATTGAGCTTTCGTGACATTATCCTCCAGGATGCATTCCCTGTAGAAATCGTACACAGCAGGTTCATCCATGATCTCGATCACATTGTCTTCGTTCAAATTGTCCAAGGATCCCGCGCAATTGTCTCGCGTGACTCCCTTTGTAGACATGTACGGCTTCCCAGTGTCTTTATTCTCAGTTTTCTTTGTGGATGCAGCCATTGTTAGCGTGGACATGAAAAGAACACACGCCATTACGACGACAACGCACAGTTTCATCATGCTTCCCATTTTATCTTGGCACGTTTCAAGCGACCTCTAGCCAAATGGAACAAAAATGTTATGAAGCGTTTCTTGAACAGGTGAATGTAGATGAATTTCGCAGCCGTGAATGAATGAAATGAGTACGGTGCTGCATATTATAAGAATGAATATTCGACGAATTGGGAGAAGAAATACACTGTTCTGCGGAATTACTGATTTGCAACAACTTCCAAAAGATATTCTTGACGGATATTAAACAAAAATAATGGGAAGAAAAAACAAAAATGCAGGCATCATTATGCGATTGATTTTTTGAAAGGAGCATTAATTCGACAGGCCAGCTGGAAAAAACGTTTTCATAGAGGATCTTTTGCAGAATGTTTTCTCACATCGAAAATTTTGGATCTTCGATATGATTTTTAATGGAAGAGAACTACTGTATTACTGTATAATCATCAACCACTTATTCACACTTTATAACGTTCTCATACACGAGGACTGGAATCCTCTGGAACCCCCAGAAAATAGTTATATAGATAAATTTGTTGCAGTCAAGATCGTTGTAGAGAGAGTCCACATGTATATTTGACGTAATTGCTGATTTGAAATTATTTTCAGCCAAAAAATCGAAGCAGCATCTCTTTGTTGTGCAAAAAATGCCATCATCATAGAGGTTTTAGCCACACCGTAAATCAATTCAGCATGCATGACTGCATTACGAACGGATGAATACAAATTTTGGAAAACTCCATATGCAAAAGTGGATGGTATATAATATTACATGTTGTGCAAGGCACACATTTTCTAATTAATTGATAATACGTAAGAACGTTACATTTCCAAAAAGAAAATATAGGGCTTCAATCAGATTTCCAATCACCACATGCGAGTTCACTCAAGGCAAAAAGCAGAAATTTTCTTTAGTCCTCTCCAACATAAATGCCTAGATATATTCATGCTATACTCTTGAGGATTGTTAGAAATCAGAAATACAATTTCACACTTTTTTCTCCTTCTTCAAGAAACCTGACCCACAAAACCACTAACGAGTAAACAATACTCGCTGGCCTGTACTCTGAGATTGAATCGATGTTTTTGTCCAGCCCAGCCTTTTGTTGTCTTCCCCACTTTGCCTTCGCAGCATGACAAATGCTTTTCCAGAGAAAATCGTCTGCATCATGATCCCCGAAGGACGGGAAATACCTGGATATTCCGCTGACGTCCGCGTGTTATGCCACGTGAAATTCATTTTGTTTTGTTTCATAATTCTCAGTTCCTTCCTCGATCATGCCGTGCTCCACTTCCGACGAAATTCGAATACCGATGCTGTCATAATTTTCATTCTGAAAGCTCGGCCTTTTCTCGAAAAATCACGAGAAGGCGGATTCTCATTCGAAGGTTATTCAGAATTTATTTTTATTTATATTCAGAATAACCGGAAGCTTGTGCTGAATTTCGTATAGTTTCCTAACGCTGAGCACTGGGAATGAATCATAATCGATGAGGCTTGCTTAGCCAACTCATTTATGCAATGTTTCTCTAGATGTCGCCGGTTTTCTCTTCTCTCGGACAATTTTAACGTTAGCAGTTTGAAATTGGCTTTGATTCATCCGCCGGAGAAGGAAAAAAAAAATCGTGTTCATATTCTTACCTATTTTTCAGTTACTTCAGAGTGCGAACATATAATTGAGAATGCTACGAATAATTATGACGGAATACTGAGCAATTTAATGCCACATTTGGCAGTTGCTTAAAAACAAAGGTTTATCAGAAATATTGAAAAGATGAGTGAAGTAAAATTCTTAGCAAAAAGGAAATACGGTAGATTGGAGTTGACGAATGCCGAAGATGAGGTAATGACGGGTATATCCTGAGCTCTTTTCGGGGTTGAAGCATTGAAAGTTTACTTTTGTTAATAATAATCGCTAGATGTCAGCATACATCAAATTTTCCGAATAATTCCACGAGTATATAGGCGTGGAACTTCATAACGATTCAGCTCATAATGGGAAGCGTTCTTCGGTAATTCTCTCCACACCCGGCGGGGTTTCATGATTATTTGTCTAATTTGCATACTTTGTCATTGTTTGCCTCCAGCGATCACATATATCCAGTGATACTGCGTATACCACTCATACAGGGCATGATAACAAGACAAAGAAGTTTGGGTACTGAGCGTGTAAAATCAGGAACAAAATTAAGCCAGAAAAAATAAGAAAAATATTTCGGGCGTCCAATTTTTCGTGAGCTGTAGTTATATAGCATAGGTTCCGTTGAAGATTCAGGATATTTTTCGGAAAATAGACCCATCCTATAGGGCATACTCTTTCAATAAAAAAATGGATATTCAAAGAAATACTGTGCTCAAAGAGATTCACGCCTAAATTGTGGCCTTTTAATGCAGTACTAGAATACCTCTTATTTTAATGCGTTAAAACCAACAGCGTAAGAGGCACGCGGTTTCAAGCTCCAGTATTTTCCAATAAGAAAATCATAATCTCGAAGAATCTCTATTTTGTAAAATCTGATTACAATAAATCGCATATTTCACGTGAATATATTGCTGAAGTGAATAAGGTAAATCCCTTTGATCCCCAACATAATGACGCAGATTGTTTCGAATAAGAGATTTCCAATTAGTAGTATTCTATTAATTCTATCAATAGTCTGCAAAAGATTTCCAAGTACAGTAATATATGATCACATGAGGGAAAATTATTGATTGCTAACATAATTTTATTCTCAAGACCCTGCCTTATTTGGCAAGAAGGTTATTTCAATTTAGCTTTGGAGAATTCTGATAGCTTAGTGTTTTTGCTGGTACCAAATGGTTTTTTTTTATTAGATATTTACTGCATGAGTTCTTCATTGGTCATTTTCAAACCACATTCGACTGTAATATTGCAGCTACAGATTTTGTTATTTCTGTAAAAAGCATTTTTCAGTAATAATTGAATGTGTCCAGCATTCTCCAGAAAGTAATATAAAATTGTGTAACAAGGAAACCATATCTAAATTGCTTGAATGTCCCTTGGAATTGGGCTTGAAGAGGTTAAAGAATAAATTCCAAGAAGACTATAGACAAGGACTAAATAAAAGTTTTTTTTCTAAGCAATAAATTCACAAGACAACATTTTTTGGTAACAAAATTCTACCATTTCAAGCAAAACATGTGGGACCCCTTTGTTTAACCCTTGGACAGTGGCAGGTTGATTTCCATTAAGCAGAGCCAGGGATATTTTTGCAGGCTTGGACATTCTGGTTTGACCACTGGTCACCAAAAGGCAGCCTTGGCTGGATAGCCAAAGTGGGGACAAATCTGGGAAAGTTGAAGCTATTGTTATTTGAAACCCAACAGTACTAATTCTATAGCAGGAATGCTGGAAAAAAATTTATCCCAGCCAGGATTTTTTGTTTCTTTTTCAGCAAAACTTTTCTTCTGAAAGAACAAAAAAGAGATTTTTCCTGACTTTTGCTATCTTGACCTGACCAAGATTTTTTTGTTTTCTGATGCTGAATGGCACCACATGATCAAATTTTGAAAATATTTCCCAGCCCCATCCCCAAAGGGTTAAGCACTGCTCCTCAGCAGCTATGCACTCAGCCATTCCAAATTTCTCAGAATGCCAAAAATAAGTAGAGCTGGCAGTGTGGAATGCAGAGTATTGGCACCATGTAACCACTAGTATATATTTTTATATGTATGTATATATATATATACAGTGCCCCCCCGCCTAACAGGCCTCCCATGTAAGGGATTTTTGCCAAACAGACCAGCTCTGCAAGCAGTTTTTCCTCCCACCCAACAGACTTCTTTTGGTTCGAAATTAGTGTTGAAAATTGAATTATATATATATATATATATATATATATATATGTATATACATATGTGGGTTTCTCTGTCTCTGAAGAACGTCCTCTGGTCCATGAGCACCACACATGCAGTGCTCGCATCCCTGTGACTCCCCTGTGGGTGCAATGCTGGGAAGGAGGTTAGGACGCACATCACCCCATTGTCAGCGAGAGAGGATTTATAGCTGAGGAACGGACTCAGTGCCGGATATAGTATAGGAGAACAAGACAACCCCCTCAAGCCCTCGCCACAAATGGTGCGCCCAGGGAGAGGGTATATAGCAGCCCTAGCTGGGCTACAAGCACAGGGGTTACTCAGGGGAGACCCAACAGGCTGCGCAGCAGGGGGAGCTATAGCATGGCATGCAAGTGCCAGGACAACACATACAGCTTGGTTATGGTTACCATTTTTTTTCAACATTTGTGATCTCAGCTGATACAGGTGGAACATCAGATAATACTTTATGGCTCATTTTCCCCACAAATCAGGGTCTTTCTTGAGCTAAGCATTTGTTTTTGCATAGGTGTAGTATTAATGATGTGTAATATTTTTGCGATTGAACTTGCTGTTCAACAATGCCCTGCACTGCAAATGCTAATGGCACCCCAATAACTTGCTACCAGCCATAGTAAATGAGGATTATCCAATTTGGATGTAACCTTGGTTACTTCTGAAGTAGGTATCAGTGTAAAGAAATGTTGGGAGTTTTTTCAGATTCAGCTCATGGCCATAAGCAGGAAGTTTTCCCCTATCATCATGCAGGTTACTGAAATTTCCTTTTTTCAACTCAAATGGTGGAGGCTTCCCATCCATTCTGAGGTGAACTTGGGATTTTATTGGGGGGAGGGGGCATCTCAGTTTGACCAAAGGTCTCTGAATTGTCCTCAGGTTGAGAAGGCCTAATAAGCCAGGAACAAATTGGATAAACATTATCCTTTTGTCTTTAGAAATCACCAATGTTGATCCTATGCTAGGAATGCACAAAAAACACCCCCACCCCTTGTGAGGAATTTCTTGAATTTTGAGGCAAAATTGATGCAATACAGATGCTATCTTGAAATTCAACCTATTGAAATTTGACCATCACATAATTTGATGGTTGAATTTGCTGGGAGGTCAACTTGCAACTCAACGTAGGCCCTGCAATTTGACCCACAGAGATGGGCAAAAATAACATCAAATATGATGTAGAAAACATTGCATTTGATGTTGCTTTGAAATTTGACCCTA